TCTGCTGTGGGGCCATGAGCTGTGGTTGCTCAGAGCTGCCCCAGACGGCCTCTTGCTGCCTCCCAGAGGCACAGGGCACAGCCAGTTTGGGGATGGGCAGCTCCATTCCCAGCCTGGCATGGTTTACCACCAGGTTTTAATGCATGAGAGGTGGAGAGAGATGCTGCAGGGTGAGGAACAGCAGCAAACACTTGGAGAATTCCTCCGTACAACGACCCCCGGCAGCTCCACTGCCTGCCTCCACCAGCCCACCCCTCCCTTGTCCCTTGTCCAGGGAACCCCTTCAAGGCCAGGCCGATGCTGAGGCTGCAACGACAGCAAGAAAAGCCCAGTTGATAAATGTCAAAAGAAATACAGTAATCAGCTGAAAGCAATTTACCGAGCCATGTAACCGCCCTGGGCTCGCCATTTTCCTTCATTCATTTATCATGGTAAACGCTTTGGCCAAAATACACAAAGCAGAGAAATTGTTGACATGTGGGGCCCTAGCAGAGCAAATCCTTCATCCTCCTCCCCCTCCCCACGGCACACAAACTAACTTTTTTGGGAGTTGTTTATTTAAGGACTGGAGAGCACTCCGTGCTCTTTGAACCCAAATGCCTTGGGAGCGGGGCTGTGGTGCTGGCCACCACCTTCCCTCCCCTCTCCATTGCCCGGGGCTGCCGGGAGGCCGTTGCTGACATCGGGAAGTACCTGCTGGTGGTGAGGAGTTGAGCTGCGTGACATGCGCAGGACCCTGTTCTGCTTCTACCTCCTCCACCTCCTAAAATGTGGTATCAGTGACTGGCACGGGTGTTCTGTAACTGGTCAGGGAAGGCAGATGCTGGTTCTGGAGAGTTCCTGTTATTGGCTTTCGGTCTTCTCTGTCCTGGCTAAACCAGCCGCGCTGACAGCACTGGTTTCGGTTCTCTATGCACGAAACTCAGGGAACCGCGAAGTCTGCCTCCCCTGCCAGCACTCAGCCCCCTCGTGCCCTCCCAGTGGCCAAGCTGCAGGTAACTGCTGGCCCCAGCAACAGGCAAATGCTTCTTTTGGGATGCGTGAACCTAAGGGCACACACCAACCAGGAACCAGCTCAAGGTTGCTCCTCCACATCTCGTTTGAACTTTATTTTAAGCAAAGTTAAATGCCACGGCTGGCAGCAGGACAGGACAGGTTTCTCCTGTGTGTGGTCTCGGCCTGTGCCGGGTACTGGGATGCCAAGGGGCTGGTGTGCACAGCGAGCAGGGCAGCTGTTCCTCCCGCACCTTGTCTGCTGCGCAGGAGCCCTTCCCGCAGCTCCCAGTCCTCCTTCCTGCTGTCTCGTTTCTAGTCTCAGTGCACCCAATTCTGTTGTCACCTGGACGAAGAACAGTGAGGAGAGTCCCCCCTGTCGCTCCAGCACAACCCAAGGTGGGGATGGAGCAGCTCTGTGCTTTGGCTGCTCTGGCAGTTCATCAGAGTCACCCCTGCCCTGCCCGAGGCTGCCGACTCCGGGCAGGGATGGGCACTGTGGCACGTGGCAGTCCATTCTTGCTTGAGAGGGGAGCGCGTCCATCGGGATGGTGCTCATCCAAGCAGCTCCTTGGTCTTCGCTGCCAGCAGCTTGTCCATCTCTGCTGCGGTGCTGTCTGCCATTTGCTGGATCTGTGGCAACACAGTACAAACCTGAGCCATGTGCCAGGTGATGCCAGAGTTTAAGGGGAAAGGAGTGACCGGATCACCTCCCAAAACAAAGCCTGAAGTCCTATTAAACCCCAAAAACGGTGCTGGGGAAGTGACTGGCTCTTCCTGGGGTCTCCCACCCACCCTCAGTGATTCTGTGCCGGTGTTGCAGCTGTACAGTGAGAACAGGCACCGGTCAAAGGCTCTGAAAAGAGGCTCACAGCACAAACTCTTGGCTTCACGAGTGACTTGGTCAGGTCCTTACTGAACAGAGCAACATCAGGGAAAGGCAGAGTCGGAGACCTGCTGGTGTTGGCACCAAAGAGAGGGGTCATCTCATTACCTCCTGCAACCTTCCCACCCTTGGGACAAGCCAGACAACAGCAGGGGCGCAGCCTTGGTACGCGCTACGAGTTCACGCGTCAGGTAACGCATCGGGTTACTTCTTGTAAAACGAAAGAAATGGCGATTGTTAAAGCCCTGCCCAGGGATCAGGTCTCCTGGTAACAGGGGATAGACATGGCAAGCATGTAAACAGGACCAAAATGTGCATGCGCTTCTTTGGGTGAGTGCAGATAGAGGTTGGAGCACGCTGGGGGGGTTTATGTGCTAGTTTTATGGGACTGATTAAGGTGCACTCGCCCTCGAGGTCTGGGGTATATGACAATGACCTTCCCTCATGCTGAAAAATTTGGGTACGAGCAAAAATTCGACTTGAGACGCTACCTCTACAAATGCAGAAAACCATCTGCCTGCTCTGGGAGAACTGTTTCCCAACAGGATTCGGTTACAATAGCGTGGCCGTTTTTCCTGCTTGCACGAATGCTCTGTATATCAATGTTTATTTTTGTGAGCACACAGAACTGTCCCGAAGCATTTGCAATGTATCTGACTTTAGCTGTTAATAAGCAAACAGCTAAAAAGTAATGGCCTGCCTTCAGAGGCATCAATTCAGCAAAACACTTAGGCTTGTGCCTGAGTTTATGCCCAAGTAATTGACTTGAGTGACATCTGCTCTTAGGGAATTAGGCATGTGCTTAAGTATTTTCCTGAATTGGAGCCAAAAAGTCCTAACAGAGATAATCTTGCTAGCCTTTTCATTAATAACAAACTGAGCAATCCTCATTAACACCAGCTGTTTTGCAATGGCCAGGCACTGTGTACGTGGTGGTAAAGCTATGGACGTGGATCCTTTCGCTCCCCAAGTTCAGCTGGTTTGTGCAACAATCCCCCCGTAGTATGAAAGCTTTCGGGGAAACATTTGGGTTTTTTTCCTGTGTCAGCTTACTACAGTTTGTATCATAACACCGGCTTTGAGACTGAAGCCCCAAATCTCGCAAATTAAAAGGAAATACAACAGCTATTGCTGACTCAAAAATTCAGCCCAGGGCCACCCATTCCCCAGCTGGGTACGCAGTGCTGAAGGATTTGGGACAAACGCAGCCCTGAGCTGGGAAACATCATGATGTGGCAGAAGGGGAAAAAAATTTACCTGCTTTTCTAGCAGCCAGATGGTGTCTTCAGACACTTTGCTCTTGAACTTCTTTACCTGGTTGATGCTTTTGCTTCGCACCTTTCTCAGGGCCTCTTTGGACTTGTTGGTGGACTGCTTGGCAAGCTTGGCCAGGCTCTCCCTGTGCTCTCTCGTTATCCTAGCAGCAAGGGGAAAGGAAAACCACCAAAAGGAAAAATAAGTGTCATGTGTAGCACTGTCAGATGTCTTTTCTGTGTTGGACTTCAGTTAAATGCAGCGAGACTCTCTGCTGCCGTACCCGACTGGCCACAGCCCCCCGCTGGCTGCGCAGGGGTACCCGAAAGCCACCCATGCTAAGACAGAACTCGCTCTGCGTGGAGGCCCAGTGTCACGGGGGCAGAGGGACTGAACAGCTCAGGGTGTGGTTTTGTCCTGCTCTGGTCCACCTGAGCAAATCGGCCACCTCTGCGCAGCATCGCCAGGGCAGCACGTCCCAGAGAAGCAAGTCTTGAGCCTAGAATGGGAAGCTCCCAGCTCAGCCCTGAGCTGGCGGACTTGGACTGAATCTTACTTGGTTTATAGTTGTCACTGCAGTGCCTGAAAGTCATGCTGAAATGTTCAGACCTTCCTTTTTTCTGCTGCCAAAGCATTTGTGGGGAAGAGGGAAAATCCAGCTCCAGACCTGAGAGATGGAGCTGGAAAGTGTAACCCTGCAAAGCCAGGAGCAAACCTCTGTCCCTTCCTGAAACTTGGTATCATCTCCTGGGAACTGAAGAGCCTGAATGATAGATCTGCAAGCCACAGAGCTGATGTTTCACTCAACTTTATTCCAGCTCATCACGACCAGGCTTTTCTACCATGATGTGAATGCCTGGTTTGACACCAGGACGATGCTAGACAGGGCTTGCCACAGGTAATTCAGCCCAGAACTCCAGGTCCACCTTCTCCCTGACACGGGGCCAGTTACTGCTGTGGTGCCCTAAGAAAATCCTCCGCTTCCCGTCCCAAACCACAAACTGCAGGTGATGAGGGAGTGCGGCCATCTGAGTAAGGCACGGAACAGCTGACACCTCAGCTCTGGTCATGCTCCAACACCTCCAGCTGATCACTGTCAAGATCAACTGCTAGGGCTTAACAATAATATTTTAATTATTTTCATGGCTATTGAAGTTTCCAGACTGCCTTGAGAACGAAAAACCCCCGGCGCGCTGAGACTCGCTAGCAAGAGAGCGCCCGTCTGCTCGCAGGAGATATTGCAAAATAAACATTTCACAGGAGTATTTAGAAAGGGGCTGCAGCAGCCCGGGTCAGCAAAACACCGAGGCCAGGACCCTTCCGGCAGAGAGCTCAGGAAAGGTGGAGCGAGGGCTCTCAGGGCTGCTGCTGCTGCCAGGGTGTGTGTTACAGGCGGGGGCTGGGGGGGCACGATTGGACCCAGTCGCACGCACGCCAACACCTTCCCCGGGCAGCCAGGTCCTCACAGATGTCTGTGGCGACGCTGGCCTCTGGCCAGTTCACTTGATTTCACGGAGCAAGAGGGAATAGGCTTCCCAGAACCGCTTAGTAATTACAGGAATTTGGGATTGCTGGACAAGCTGACAGACCTAGAGAGCAGCCACCCAGCACCACGTCCCCGGTGCCCCCTTGGATAAGATGCCCTCGCTCAGGGACACCCCCAGCCCTGCCCCCGGCTGAAGGACAGCCGGAGGGAGATGGTCACTGAACTCCACATGTGGTGAGAGGCTTCTGGTCAGCGCGGGCTGGAGCCTGGACCAAATGCCTAATTAGAAGTGAGCGGGGTTACGTGTGGTTTCCTCCGCATCCCAACATCGATGCCTTCAGGGCTTCTCATGTTCGATCTCCCGCAGCACATCCGAAACCACCAACGCCGGCTCACAGAGGTCTGGCTGAGGTCAGGTTCTCAGGCAGCTTTTTGGGGGGGTGCGGGGAGTCAGTCCCAGCTGCTAAACTTGGAGAAGGGAGCTGGAAATCTCTCCCCATCTCCTGCTGGGTGGCGAGGCGAGCGGGACCGCAGCAGCTACTCGCCTCCCCGCTCCCGCTCAGCTTTTGCCGAGGGTATCACTCGCCTGCTTGGGGCTGCCGAGCCTTTAAGGAAATGTTTTTGTTTATGCAGCGCTGCCAGATTTCCTATGCTTCTTGGCACAGGGTCACAGCTTTCATGCCTCCTTGTCTGTCTTTATTAACACCAATTTCTTTTTATCACTGCGCAGCGCCGTGGAGTTTCTCAGCGGGTTTTATGTTCCAGCCAGACTGTGTGTAAATTCTCAGCAATGCTACCAACAATGCCAGAAACGGATGCTTTTTCAAGCAGATGCTGTTTCTGGTTAAGGAATCCGTCAACACGAGCCAGGCCCATGGTTTCTAAGGACAGTTGTTTAATCCTGCCCCCAGATCTGGGACTTTTAAAGCTGTTCTTAGATATGTTTTCTTTTCTGTCTAGTAACCATTGCCCCTACCCCCTTTAAAGCCAAAAAGCATGTGAATTGAACCTGGGGAAGGGGTGCCAAGAGTGGGGAGGAAGGACGAAGTCCCTGCCTGTTGCCCCTTCCGCTCTCCCCTGGGAAAACGCCACCTCCCCTGCAGCCCGTTTGGCCAGGAACAGTCCTGCCGGGATCAGGACAGAGCCTGGTGACTGCTGTGCCACGGAACATACATATGTGGCCCCACAGATAACTTCTCCTCTTTTTCTGCTCCCCGCCAGCCAGCAGTGGTCGAAGCACCGCAGCCCTTGGATGCTGCCCTCCCCACATACGGCAAGCGCAGCCCCACAGCGAGCACGAAGGCCACGTCTCCAACGCAAGGCGGGTAAGAGTGATTTCTGTATCTCAAATGCTAGGAATTTCCTGCGAACGAGAGGGATCAGTTAAAGGAAAGTGGGCTTAACTAAATACTCTGCATGCATAATTGCAGATAAACATAGGGTACAATGTATATTGCTCAACAAAAAGCACGCGGGAGACTTCTGATGACGAGCGACGGAGCCACGCAGCCCAGAAACAGCTTTGGGGTTTTATTTTCAAATGACATTTTTTTGAGTCCTTTCTCCCCACAGTAGGTATCTTTGCATATTTCTTAAAGGGCAAAAGGAAGAAAAAAAAAAAAGCTCACAATGAGTCATTAAACATTCAAATGAGTCATCTGGCTTTCAGTAAAGCATGTGTAAAAATATTACTGATTTACAAACAATATCCAGTGTAACACAATGGGTCCAAAAAAGATGAATCTAAAAATGAGGCAATACCATAAAAGACACAAGGTCAGGTCAAATTCGGCCAAGAGATCAACCAATACAAATGTTCCCATGGCTGGTTTTCGTTGGTTTTTTTTTTTTTTTCTTTTTAAACCCTCAGAGACTATGTTTTTTACACAAATAAATATTGCCTGTGCAGTGCTAGAGCAACGCAACCAGGCAAATGCCTTCGGCAGCAGAGGGGATCCTGGCAGTGAAAACGAACGAAACGAGCGTACTTTTTCTGTTGAAACTGCAACGCAAAAACTAAACTGACAGAATAAACACTGAGGAGTGAACTCCCTCTTAAACTGCTCAGGTGAAACGCCCTCAAGCACTGAAGCTGAACCTACATAAGGCAAAATACAACGCTTGTGTGTCCAGCGGATAGGCCAGATTAAAAGTGGTTTTCATAGCAGGTCAGGCAGTTCAGGTTTGATTTTAGGTTTACTGTGCCTCCCTCACGAAAGACCCAACTTCTGCAGAAACAATGCTGTCTCTTCGTTTCTGATTTGTTTGCCCATTTCGCACACTTGCCACAATTCTGGCAGTTCCACTGCGTCCGTCTGCCGTGTATTCTTTCATAATCACCTTTAGCGTTGGGGAAGTGAAAAAACTTTAGAAGTTTTAAAGGAGTAATTAAGGGATATAATGTTAAAGAGAGGCCTCTAGCAGAATTTGATTCTTTCTGCCCCCACTTTGCGACAGAAGGGCTGAAACTGTCTGCTTGTCCTTTTGATAAGCGGATGAAACTCTGACAGACCCAGTCGCGCTGCTAAAGAGCCGGGGAGAAAACGGGAGCGGAGGTTTCCACAGGGCATGTCTCCCAGGCCAAAAACTCTTTTACCTTGGGCGAAAGGGGCCAGGAGCATCCCCTACACAGCGGAGGAACAAGGGAACACGCCAGGCAGCTCTGCCCTGGGGAGAGAGAGCGCGTGTTCGCTCTGCAGCACCGCAAAAGATCCTGACGGACCGTACGCGTTTGTTTAAAAAACATTATTTTTTTAAAGATTGGGATTTGCAGTTTTGGAGTTTCCACCCCTGCAATTCATATTCAAGGATGACCCAAGTGCCCATTAACAATCAAACCACTGCGCAGCAACCCGGGAGCCTCAGCAATTATGAAGATAATGGTGCCCTCCTCCTCCTCTGCCTCCTCTCCTGAGGAATGGGGGAAGGGCAGGGAGCACAGGGAAAAGAAAATCAGCAAATAGAATGATAATGTCATTCCCTCTCCCTGTCAGCAACGGAAAGCTGCAATTAGGTTTCTCTGCTCAAAATGCCAGATAAAATTCCATAGAATTTTTGAAGGAGATCTAAAGCACGAGAAATACTTGGCTTCTCTTCACTGAGAAGTCACCTGTCTGTAAAACGCAGCGCACGTGCAGGGTGCTGGTGCGCGCGGGCAGCGCGTGGCGCCGTCTCCACCCTTTGTGGGAGCTGCAGCACCCCAGCACCATGTAACCCCAGGGCGGGAGATGACGTTCGTCCGCATCCGCCCTGGGTATTTACACAGCTCCATCACTGCAGGGCCTGAGCACCCCAAGAACTCGTGAATTCCCCTTGCACCACCCAAACCTGGGCAGGGCAGCGCTGCTGCTCCTGTTACAGGCTGTGTCTGGTGAGCTGCACGGCACAGTCCGAGCGAAGCTGCTGGAAGGTCTCGCTCCTCACAAAGTCCAGCCTGACCCCAGGGGAATGAGCAGCATGCACGTGTGGGGAGCACTCAGTGCACTCCCAAAGGGTATCCCTCTATTTGGTTTGGTCTGAAAGGAATCCCATCCACAGGCAGAGACCCCAGCATGCTGCAGCCCAAAGCACGCTAAGCAGGGATCACTGGGATCGCTTCAAAAGCACCCTCCTCATCCAAACTGAAGCATATGTATCATAGAATCATGGAATCATAGAATCCATGGTTTGGATTGGAAGGAACCATAAAGCCCACCCAGTTCCAACTCCTCCTGCGACGGACAGGGACACCTTCCACTAGACCAGGTTGCTCCAAGCCTCATCCAGCTTGGCCTTGGACACTTCCAGGGATGGGGCATCCACAGCTGCTCTGGGCAACCTATCCCAGTGCTCCCCACCCTCTGCAGGAAGAATTCCTTCCTTATATCTAATCTATATCTCCCCACTTTCAATTTAAACCCATAGTGGCAATTCCTGCCTTGTCCAAGGGCTGGGAGACACCTGCGATGGGCGAGGGACATGATGCTCAGTCCTCGGCCAGGAGCAGCCTGCTTTTCCATCAGCCTAACCCAAAACTTCCACGCAGCTGTCAGTTACACAGTGTGTATTACCCCAGAAGAGGCAGTGGGTTTTTCAGTCAAAGTTATGAATTTCCTACCTCCTTCTTTCATCACTTCCTTTTAGTGCTCTTTGCAGCAGGGTGCTATTCACCCCTGATACTACTGGTTCACTACTGCGTTACTGCTGCTCTACACTGGTGTAACTCAAGGGATTTACAGCAGGGCAGCAAAGAATCAGCCCCTGAATTAGAGCAATACAGCTTCAAAAGCCTGTGGCTGCCTCTTGCAAAGTGCTGCAGCCAGCTAGGACCAGCATCCTCCGCAGGAGGAAGATAAAGAACAGTAAGACCAACCATCAGATGCCAAAATATGGTGACTTAGAGCTCAGAGGCTTGGAAAAGCTTCCACCAAATGCTTTTAGGGACTCAAGATTGTTTTTTTTTCTGAACCTGAAATCCAGCTATTTGGAAAATAGCTGCACAACATTACAGCAACCGTGCACGCTTTCCCTCTAAAGGGCACTTGCTGCAACCTACGGCGTTATCTTGCATGACGACGAACTCGGGGAGCCGTCAATACTCACTTAGGGATTGGCACCCGAATTATTGTCCCATCCACTTCTGGGTTCAGGTTCATGCCACTCTCCCTTATAGCCTTCGTAGCTGCAGCTGTGCTCTGTAAAACAGATCAAAAGGTAAAGGGAATTAGGAAATAATCATTCCCATATGCCAGAACTCCGTCAATAGTTGGCAATCCATCTCCACGGAACATGGAAACATTTACTTCTGTTACCAGTAAGATCAGGAAGTTACATTGGTGCAGAGAGCTTTGATCAAACCGAATGGGAAGCTATGGCCGCGCTCAATACTGGGGTAGGGGGGCACGAAGGGGGGGAGAGGGGAAGGGAAGCGACAACAAAAGAAAACTGTTTTGCTTCTTTGAAACTATTGGAATGGTTTGAGGCAACGCAGAGTGAAACCGCAACAAACTCCCAAGGCGCAGCCTGACTGTGGCGAAGGGGATGAAAGATTCTGAGCATTTAAAGATTCCAGTTGGATGTTTCCCACTAGAAGTCACACACTGCCAATTTAGAAACGTTAACGAACTTAACCACTTCAGCACTGCGACCTAACCACATTACAGCAGGGCAGTAGCAGCTGGCTGAGAAATCGAGCCTGTGCCCAGCTCTGTGTTTATTTTACAGCTTATTACTTAGGATTAACTTCTCAAAACTCCATCACTGCTGGCTGACGCTCTGCCCTGTTTAGGAGGTGGGTTGTGCAGGTTTGCCTGGTAACTGCAAAGTGCTGAACAGGCTTCCTCCCCCATCCCAGGGCACTGGGGTGCCGTTACAGAGCGCCAGGCTTTACGGTTACGTCAGAGTTTTGCCGGGAGCTCCGCAGTTCTCTGCCAGGCTGCTTCGTTCTTGACATTGACAATAACAAGACCAAGCGAGTCTCTGTTCTTGCGGCACTCGCGTGTCATTCCTACAAGGCGCGTTGCTATTTCTGATGCTCCTTCCCATCGTTAACTTTAGCTCCAGGCTGCTGCAGTAGATGGTATTCAGCTTTCCTCAACTGAGGCACAAAATACAGCTCTGCCCATTTGTTTAGGCCTCTGACATGCCTGGATGAAATTAATGCTCTGCTGGTGTTCTGTAAGGCATAACTGCTGTCCTCTAGAACACCAGGGCTGAGAAAACGTAACCAAGATGATCTCGGCACATTAGGAATGTAAACGTGCTGCTCTATGGACAGAGCTTGCTCTGTAGGAAGGAAATGCTTAGTAAAAGCTGTGTTGTTTAACACACATACGGGAGGAGATACAGGAAGGGGAAAATACTGCAATATTGCCCCCATCCTCTTGCAGCCTGTGAAATAAACAGCTGTGTCTAAAAGACATAGTCCTTTTTGGTTTTCTAAGTCTTGGGCAAACAGAATTTGGCCCTGCAAGTCCTTTTCTATAATTATTTTCTTTCCCAGACTGTTCACACATTTTTATTTGCTTTCCAAAGCCATGAAGCACTGGCTATATGCTGTAAATAATGACATCAACTAAACGTGTCTGTCATGGTTTTAAGGAGTTCTGTCTATCCATGACATTATGAAGCAACTACACTGAGAGAAGGAGTTTTACCTCCAGTTCAAATGAGAAGTGCTACTTGGGCTTAGATTGCAAAGGTATATAGTGTGATATGTAGCTTCTCACATGCCCATTTCTCAGTCTGAGCTTCTGCCTGGACACGGGCTAAGTCATGGAGGGACTCCCCTGGCCCTCTCAGCTCTGGCACAACGAGGGACCTCAGTGCACTTGCTGATGAGGGGCCTTCATTCTTCAAAGCCATTATACACGCTGGATACTCTTTAAGAAACACTTAGGCATCAAGTGCCTTACACTGACCTCCTCTGAGACTTTGCTGACTTAATTAATTGGGGAAAGCCTTTGGAAAATAAATAGAGATAAGCTCTGGCAAACCTCCAGACCTGGAGCGGGATGAATAGCTAACCTTGAGCTTGTTACTGCTCCCATCTGCCCAGCTCTGTCTGCAGGAGCCTGCGGCAGGGGTCCACCAGTGTGCGAAACTTGGATTTGCTGCCTCATGTAGGGGCAAGTTGAACTAAGCTCCTGCAGAAAATTAAGGGAACTGAGCTCTCCCAGAGGACAGGTCAAAGCCTCTAATTTGGGTTCTGACCTGCAGGCACTGCCAGGGAGGAGCTCAGTAACCTCAGCAGTGCCCGAGTCAGGCCCTGTGCCAGCACTTGGCATGGGCCCAGCTTAGTCCTAACAGGGATTCTTTGCAGAAGCTTGTAGGCTACACCAGCAGCTGCTTCCATGAGCTCCCAGGGGGTGTCCCTAGCCCTGGTGACAAGTAAGCAAGTTTTAGAGGAGTGTGATGGTGCCCCCAGCACAAATACAGACGATTCCAACTACACGTCTGGTTCTGTGCATGGCTGCGTCTTCGTAACGAACTGAAATGACATAAATACAACAGGGCAGATGCAGCATTGTTTCCACATGTGTAATTTGGGTGACCAAAGGAGACTGTGAGTGTGCTCGAGGCTTCTGGGTGCCATACAAGCACAGGAAACAGGCAGACCTTTCAGGGCACAGTTAATCCAGGTATCCGTCCCGCAACACGCTCAGTGGTGCTTTCCAACTAAGCTCTTGCAGATCCAACTGATGGGAAACCAATCCCCAAAGCAAACCCCTCATACTGTGGAATCTATCGGGTAGGACCCCAAGAGCAATCACAGCCCGACGGTCTCTCATCTGACCCTCATGCTGCTGCACGAGGTGATTATCTCCCCTCGCGATGCCTTTGGTAATGTGTCCTTACCTCCGGAAAATTGGTCATGTTCACTATAATGAGCTGTGGTGACTTCTGTGAGATCTGCCCCAGCTGGTTCAGTGGAAACTTCCCATCTCTTGTCATCACAATGAGGTGATCGAGGGCCCCTCAAAAGAACCAAACACAAGGGAGTTTCAGTATGATACAGCGATGCTGAAGAAGTGTCCCCCTTCCCTCCTGGTATGCAAAATGTAAGTGTTACATAAGAAAAAAACCCCATGTTTATTCAGACTTCAGGTGCTGTTTGTGTTCATGCATCCCCTGTGGCATTTGCAAGCTAAATATTTCAACGCTACTCTAAAGGACAAAAAATACAAAACCAAAACTCTTGTTTGTTTTTGTTACTAGAATAGGAAAACTAAGCAAGTTTGCTAAGAATTAAAAGGAAATCGCTTTTTCATTCTTAAAACTTAAAGAAAAGCAGAATGTTGTTATAAAAATCAAGACAACTATTGTCTTTTACTTAGTAGTGTTCTCTTAAACGTCTCTTTTTTTTTCCCAAGTCCCAAGAGGAGGTGTTGTACACTGCCTAATTTAAAGTATTCAGTTTCTCCCTGAGCTACTCTTAATCTGCTCTCTAGTTTCTGCTGCAAAATGTTAACAGGCCAAAAGGCACATGAGACAAGAGGTACTTTATCAGTGCAATTAAAAAAAATACCTATGGTTAAAATAAATAGTTAAGAGTCTGAGCTACGCTTTCCAACTCCATTAAAGACTGAAGTGTCCCTGCCAGAGCTGGGGTGGTGAATGATTCAAATTTGGTCATTGTTTAATGTTAAAATTTTATCCCTGAAACTTGATACTACTTACAAATACGTACGTTTGGAGTGTTATAGTAACTGTAGCTTAGTCAAATATATTCACGTTTCTTCCTAAAACACAGAATTCACTGAGCGAGCAAGGCTTGTAAAGGTCACTAACCACAAAGACACACAGCAAAAAAAAAAAAGTTTGTATATGCCAGACACCAGCCTGATGGCAATTTCCAAAAGGCTAATTTAATGGCAATTGGATTTTTCCTGCACTACTGCACCATTAGCTGACAACCTGCTTCTTCATCACATCTGCAAACAGTTCAGTTAGACACTTTTGACATCTCCCACTTACAAAAGCTATTTCCAGGAAGCTATTAACCAAAATGGATTCTTCCTGGTCAAGCTCAGGGTGAAGAAAGCCTTTAGTTGGGGATGTCAAGGTTGTGGTAATTGGGTGCCCAGTGAATAACTCAATAAAAAGGAAATCCATTTTGAAAAACACAGAGTTCACTACTCAGTTCAGTATCCTTATTTACAGGCGATAGAGCATCGTACGAGAAAGTTACCAACCTGGTGAGGTTCTGATACTGAGATTTCTGCTGAATTCTTCTTTCAGAGCTTCTACCACTGCCTGCATGTCTTCATTGGTTTCCTCCAAATTGATAATATCCTCAACTAGGGCAGCACTGATATTCACTCTGGCTTGACTCTGCCCTTTGCCTTTAGCTGCAGATTACACGTAAAATTAATGTCTGTTTCTGGCAACAGTTAGTTGTTGCATTAGCAAGCGGCAAGAAGATATTAAAACCCCTGTTAGATTCAGAATTGAGCCTGAGATAAACTGAAGTGTATTTTGTAAGGAGTAAATAGCCCAGCACGTGAGCACATAAGCCAAAATATATTTGTAGGTCACGCTGTGAGCCCCGACGCCAGCCTGGAGTGTGACGACTGCTACCGGCTGCCCCAGCGCAGCAGCAGCTCCGTGCAGTACCTCTCCCCAGGGAACAGCGAAAGTTTCCGTGCACTGCAACACCCCCAGCCAAACCAGCTCCTCCAGAGCTATGCCCTGCCTAAGTCAGGTCAACAGTGGTACCTGAGATAAAAAGGGTAAGAACAGAAATTCTGGCAACATACCGAGGGGTTGCAAACACCAGGAAAAAGGCTGCTGCCTTTACCTTTTTTGGTAGCTAGCTGTCTGGTGAGCAGCATCTGATGGACACACTGCCTGCAGCCGTCCAGGAGCAGGGCCGGGCAGCCTGCAGGAGCCTGTGGGAGCCCCCTTATTGTTGCGACAGAGGAGCGATAAAGCAGGGAAGGCAGATGACGGAAGCATCTTAGTGCCAGAGCCATCGGTTACAGCGCTTCTCTAACTCACCTGGAAAAGAGAAGAGGCATGTGGTCCCCTCGGCCTGCTAAAAAGCAGCAGACTCGGGGCTTAGTTGTCCCTGTGAGTGCAAGGGGACCATTCCGCAGGGGGGGGCAGCGGGTTGGGGTGTACTGCAGTGACAAGAGGGAAGCTCAGTGGAAGG